CATTAGGCATAATTATGTGGTGACTCTCCTAAGTGTGTGGCCTGGCCCACATGAACACTATTGTGTGGTGTCAAGTCTCCTTGCCTCCCCTTTGCAATGTTATGATCTCTTTCTGCATAAACCTCCTCTGCTTTTTTGCAATTTTCCAAGGTTTATATTAGCCAGTTTATATGCTGTATCAAGAAGGCAAATGGCTGTTTTATTTACATGGACTCCATACCATCTCTCTCTAGGTAGGCTATAGCTATGTACATTAGCAATAAGTAACATTTTCTTATAATTTTTTAAATAATAATATTAAATTTTCTGTAAAAAAAAAATCTGTGCCACCTGTCATGGTGGGCAGGAACAGAATCCTGAGGATGGAAACAGGGTCTCATCTGGAGCCAGCACTTTTCCAGTCATGGTTCACAGATGTTACATTTCACTCCCATTTACCAATGGAAATAATGCTCGAGCCTCTTCCTAAATGTCCTCTGAGTCTAATCCCCCTCCCAAAGCTTTTTGCACTTGTGGTGAGTCATTCCCTTTACCCTGGCCTTCAGCTGAAATTCACATTATGGCATATTCACATCAACTGGCCCTCAGCCAAGTTTTTTTTTTTATAAGATGGTCATGTAACCTGGATCTAATGGGTTAATTCAAAAACATACATTTGCTCTATTCTTTTTCTCACTCCATTTTTCATACATTCTCTCTCTCTCTCTTTCTCTTTTTTTCTCATTTATTCATTCATGGTCACTCCAACTCTGCCTGTTCTGTCTGTTTGCATCTGCAGAACAAATTTTGCCTGAGAAACCAAGAATTGGCCAACTGCATGTTGTGATGTTTTAGCCCAATGTCAGCAGATCTATTTACTGTCCCCTTTAGTTTTGTTACATAGAGATGGCTACATGTGTGTTCAGCAGCAAGAAGTCTATCAGTTGGCCCTAGTGACTGATCCTGATTTCCCCATTCATTGAATTGGCGGGAAAAAGCGTTCCCCCCCCCCCAATAGCAGTAATATTGACATTGTTATCATTCTTAGTGATATTATGATTAGTAACTTGTTATTAAAATATTAATAACATCAAAGACAATAAAAAAATAGAAGTGAAACTTTCAAACAAATGAGATAGGTAAGACTAATAGCTGACCCCTTGGTGACTAAGCACTTGTAGAGCCATCTATGTGTAAAGACAAGAGATAAACTTCTTATTACAGTGGGCATGGCATTGTAGCCTTGCCACCCGCTGACATTGGGTTAAAGGCTTCCAGTTCTGTGGCTTGTTCCAGTTAATGGGTAATTTTCCATTAACATTAGCCTACTTACCAGATTATATACATTTGTTGATAAGAATTATTGAAAGATACCAAAGATTAGATTTTGGCAAAATAACAACTAGATCATTACCTTTAATAAACAAAATATGCAATATATACATCAGACAAGCATGTCAGACATAAAATGAAACCACAACTCACTTCTCCTAAGTGCATTCTGGGCATCGTTAGTCATTGCATCAGCTTCATCAAGAATAATCAACTTAAAGCCAGATTTAAAAATGGTTCGAGTGCTTGCAAAGCTTAGGATCTGGTCTCTAACAACGTTAATACCACGGTCATCTGAAGCATTCAACTCCAGGACCTGAAAAACGAATAATTTAATTAGCAATTAACTGGAAAAAGCAATCATCAAAGTAAAATTTAGACACTGAAGCCAAAGGGGAAAAAAAAATCTTGCCAAGAAGGAATGGTCATTCCAGTAATGAACTGAGCTTTCATCTGCTTGATTAATAAGAGAAAAAGGAGGGAGAGGGAGAGGGGGGAGAGAGGGAGAGAGAGAGAGAGAGAGAGAGAGAGAGAGAGAGAGAGAGAGAGAGAGAGAGAGAGAGAGAGAGAGAGAGAGAGAGTTGTACAGGAGTCACACTCATACAAGGCATACTCGGAAAGTGAGTGAGAGAAAGAGTTTGCGTTAGAGAGAGAGAGAGAGAGAGTGAGGGAAAAAGGGAAAGAGGGAGAGAGGGAGAGAGAGAGAGAGAGAGAGAGAGAGAGAGAGAGAGAGAGAGAGAGAGAGAGAGAGAGAGAGAGAGAGAGAGAGAGAGAGAGAGAGTGAGGGAAAAAGGGAAAGAGGGAGAGAGAGAGAGAGAGAGAGAGTGAGGGAAAAAGGGAAAGAGGGAGAGAGGGAGAGAGAGAGAGAGAGAGAGAGAGAGAGAGAGAGAGAGAGAGAGAGAGAGAGTGAGGGAAAAAGGGAAAGAGGGAGAGAGAGAGAGAGAGAGAGAGAGAGAGAGAGAGAGAGAGAGAGAGAGAGATGGGGTGGGGCAGGAGGAGGGAGGGAGGGAGGGAGGGAGGGAGGGAGAGGGAAGGGGGAAGGAGGGAGGGGAGAGAGGGTTAGAGTAAGAGAGAGGGGGGAAGGAGGGTTAGAGTGAGAGAGAGAGGGAGGGTTAGAGAGAGAGAGGGAGGGTTAGAGAGAGAGAGGGAGGGTTAGAGAGAGAGAGGGAGGGTTAGAGAGAGAGAGAGAGAGAGAGAGAGAGAGAGAGAGAGAGAGAGAGAGAGAGAGAGAGAGAGAGATTTGTACAAGAGTCACACTCATACAAGGCATGCTCATAAAGTGAGTGAGAGAAAGAGTTTGCATTAGAGAGAGAGAGAGAGAAAGAGAGTGAGGGAAAAAGGGAAAGAGGGAGAGAGGGAGAGAGGGAGAGAGAGAGAGAGAGAGAGAGAGAGAGAGAGAGAGAGAGAGAGAGAGAGAGAGAGAGAGAGAGAGAGAGAAGAGAGAGAGAGAGAGAGAGAGAGAGAGAGAGAGAGAGAGAGAGAGAGAGAGAGAGAGAGAGAGAGAGAGAGAGGGAAGGGGGGAGGGAGGGGTAGAGAGAGAGAGAGAGAGAGAGAGAGAGAGAGAGAGAGAGAGAGAGAGAGAGAGAGAGAGAGAGAGAGAGAGAGAGAGAGAGAGAGAGAGGGAGAGAGAGAGAGAGGGAGGGAGAGAGAGGAAGAGAGAGAGGGAGAAGAGAGAGAGGGAGAAAGAGAGAGAGGGAGAAAGAGAGAGAGGGAGAAAGAGAGAGAGGGAGAGGGAGAGAGATAGAGAGAGAGAGAGGGGTAGGGGGAGGGAGGGAGAGAGAGGAGAGAAGGAGATGGAGTGGTATTGATTGAAGGTGGTCCATAATAAGACAAAACAAACCTCACCATAGAGTTGAATTCTTTGGGAGAATACAATCTTCTGGCACAGGCCAAGATAGTAGATGTCTTGCCTGTTCCTGGGGGTCCATAGAACAGCAAATGGGGTAGGTGGTCCTCATCAATGAAGTGTTGGACTGTTCCAAACATTACACAAAATAACATAAGTATATATACTTTGGTGTATTCCTATGTATTCCCACAAAAAGTCACTCCACAACAAATTTTAGTGTGTGTGTGTCATATATATATATATGTATATGTATATATATATATATATATATATATATATATATATATATATATATATATATATATATATATATATATATATATATATACACACAAATATTAAATGATACATAAATACAAATGTGTAATCATATATAAATATAAACATATAATTGTATATGCATTATATATGTATAGACAGATAGATAGATATAGATAGAGACACTTTGATATAGACAAATAAATAAATAAATGTGTGCACACATAAAAGTATGTATAAATATATTGAGATTTATTTAATAATCTATTAATGTTATTATGTTCATGTGTGCACGCGCATGTGCATATAACTGGAAAATAAGATTACTGCATGCAATTTGCTTGGCTATGCCTCTGGTTTGCTTTCCTTTTCCTCACTTCATCCTTCCCTATCAACTGGTGAATGGTATACAGGGGAAATGGGAGGAAAGGGCAGAAAATAAGTGTCATTATGGTAAAAATTGCCAGCCAAATAAATATTAAGCAAATGAGAAAACACTGCAGGATTAATACTGTACACCTACTTGTGGATATGATGTCTTCATGTGATATCAAGTCCTGCAAAGTCTTGGGACGGTATTTTTCAACCCTGCAAAGAAATAGTCTACTCATATCTTGTAATAAAAAACAAACTAATGAGCATATTCCTATTTGTTCATTTCACACAAGAATAATCTAAGAAAGGAGAGAGAGAGGGGGAGAGAGAGAGAGAGAGAGAGAGAGAGAGAGAGAGAGAGAGAGAGAGAGAGAGAGAGAGAGAGAGAGAGAGAGAGAGAGAGAGAGAGAGAGAGAGAGAGGAAAGAGAGAGAGAGAGAGAGAGAGGAAAGAGAGAGAGAGAGAGAGAGAGAGAGAGGAAAGGAGAGAGAGAGAGAGAGAGAGAGAGAGAGAGAGAGAGAGAGAGAGAGAGAGAGAAAGAGACAGAGAAAGAGCGAGAGAGAGAGAGAGGAAAGGAGAGAGAGGGAGAGAGGGAGGAAAGGAGAGAGAGGGAGAGAGGGAAGAAAGGAGAGAGACAGGGAGGGAGAGAGGGGGAGAGAGAGGAGAGAAGAGAAGAGAAGAGAAGAGAAGAGAAGAGAGAGAGTATTTTGCAGCAAGCTGTGGTATTGTATGTTGAGTAATGCCATAAACATGACACCAATACCATAGAGGGTCAAAAAAGATTTTGTGCTTCCATACAGTACAAGGAGAAAGTACACAAAATTAGTAATTCAGTTTTTAAATCATGATACTTCCATCAGAAATTAAAATAAACAAGCTATTTGACATATGTTATAATCAATCATCATTGGCCTGTGCTGACACATTTCAAACTGCCATTTAAGCCATTTCGTCTCTCCTGAGGAATTTGCCAATATTCAAATCCTGTCTTGTCGACCACCCTCTCAATTTACGGTAATACTGAGAACATGCACAATGCTTGTTGACTATGCTGGACCACCAAAAGCATTTACTTGACACTAAACCTAGCAGGTAGGTTAGTTTTAATACAAAATAATTTATTTTTACAATATATACACATTTACAAAATGATGAGAAGCATCATCAAATTTACTGCTCTCTCCATTTTTGAAAAATAAATTGAAAAA